AGGGGGAAGGGGGGGGGGGAGGGGGGGCGACGATGGGAGAACGAGGAACTTCCTTCCGCCCGTTCTGGCATCACTGTCTCCCTTGTCCATGCCAACTCTTGTTATCGTCACCATCATTTCATCCTTCCGCTCCGGGGAGGGATGACACGAGAGAGCATTCCTTTCCATTACGCCCATTACTCGAATGGAGGCGGGGGGGAGGTTGGGGCGGCGCCACCTTAGCGGGGCGGGGGGAAGGGAGTCTCGGCTGATTTCGCAAAATATTTGTGCAGAATCACTGAAGAGTTTCGCGGTGAAATTTGGCAGAGATAGGCGGAACTTCGTCGTTAGAAGCGGGGTGAAGGTTTACTTTAAAAATTTCCCTTGGATAAAAAGAAATATTTCGCATTGGTTGATTGGTTGATGTAGAGGTTGATGCTTCGAAAATTCGAAGTATCCGAGAAACTGGACGATGATGCAAATATTAGCTTTGTTTAGCTTACCCCATTATTGCCAATTTTCGAATTCACGCAAACCTTTTGCAAATTTTTTTTTGCAATATCCAGCCCCGGCTCGGACACTGAACCTGACGCACGCGGAGGACGACGAGGGCGAGGTGAACGTGACCTGCATCACCGACGGGGTCTTCCCCCGCCCCAGGCTCAACATCTACCGGTTCCGAGGCGAGGGGAGCAGGTAAAGTTATTGCAAATTAATTAAATTGGCAAGGTACATGCACCTGTTTTCGCAAATTACATTCCCGAATGTGCTCATAGCCCTCACTCCCTTCATCGCCCTCGTAAGAGAGAAGGAACAGTTGGCACCTTCCCATTTTTCCCTTTCCACTCTGAACCCCGCGCGAAAAATCACCTCTGATCATGATCATCCCCAAATATTTGCAAAAAAAACGCAAATTAGACAAATTCGCAAAAACCAAAAATTCGCAAAAAAAAAGCCCCTCCACCTCCCTCCTCCCTCCCGCCCAGGTACGAACTGGAGGGCTCGACGTGGGAGGAGCACCTGGACGAAGAGGGCGCCTACACGGTGAAGGTGTCCTCCGCCATCCGCAACCGCAACCGCCTGCTCCCCCGCGAGATCCTCTTCGTGTGCGAGCTCTCCATCCCAGGCACCGAGTACAAGGCCAAGGAGTCTCTGCTCTACTTTCCCAGTCAGTCGCTCAATCATGTTATACTCAATTAAGACAGTCGCTCAACCTTGTTATGTTCTCGTAAGATTATCTCCCAATCATGCGATATTATTCTAAGACAGTCGCTCAATCATGTTATCTTCGGTTAAGACAGTCGCTCAATCACGTTATCTTCTCGTAAGACCGTCGCTCAATCAATATCCTGTTAAGCCAGGCATCCGATCGCGTTCTCTCTTGCCGCCAGTCATTCGCCGCCCTTATCTTCGACTGAACGAGTCAGCCACGCCTTCCCCTATGTCAGTCATTCAATGGAGCCGACGCCCGTTAATTCATCCGATTATCTTCGGCCCTGAAAGCTTTTCCCGACGCTTTGGGAAAGCAGGGCCGTCGAGCCAGAATTATGCTCGTCCGCGATCGACTAATATCGCTGCAACTTTTTTTAATAGTCAGTTAATTTATTTATTTATTAATCGGGCAAAAGGATATTGGACAATTAAGACCTTTCGTTTTTGGAAGCCAATAATCAAGCCGAAATTGAAATTTTCGCCCTGCATGAAGACTTTGAAAACTGTTGAATATACAGACCAAATGACATTGCATAAATATTTATATAAATTTAAATTTAAAATTTAAATAAATTTAAATGCCAATGCGTGATGCAATCGACCTTTA